TGAGTTCTTGTATTGTGAGAAAGGGAGAAAAGTACCTCTTTCTCTACCTGCTCTATCCCATGCATAATCTTATAAACCTCGATCATGTCACCCCTCAGTCGTCGTTTCTCCAAGCTAAAGAGCCCTAAGCGCTTTAACCTTTCCTCTTAGGGAAAGTGTTCCAACCCTTTTATCATTCAAGTTGCCCTTTTCTGCACTTTTTCCAAAGCTACAATATCCTTTTAAAGGTCTGGTGACCAGAACTGCACACAGTATTCCAAATGAGGTCGCACCATTGATTTATATAGGGGCATTATGATATTGGCTGATCTGTTTTCAATACCCTTCCTAATAATCCCCAGCATAGCATTGGCCTTTTTTATTGCAGTCACACACTGTCATCCGCAAATTTAGCCACTTCACTGCTTACTCCCATCTCCAAATCATTAATGAACAAGTTAAAAAGCAGCGGACTAAGTACTGATCCCTGCAATACCCCACTGCTTACCACCCTCCACTGAGAGAATTGCCCATTTATACTTACTCTCTGTTTTCTATTAATTAGCCAGTTTTTGATCCATAAAAGGACTTGTCCTTTTATCCCATGATTTTTGAGCTTACTTAGGAGCCTTTGATGAGGAACTTTATCAAAAGCTTTCTGGAAGTCAAGGTAAACAATATCTATGGATCCCCCTTGTCCACATGTTTGTTCACCCCCTCAAAGAACACTAACAGGTTAGTGAGACAAGATCTTCCCTTACAGAACCCATGCTGAGTCTGCCTCAATAGGTTTTGTTCATCTGTGTGCCTACTAATTCTTTCCTTAATAATGGTTTCCACCAATTTATTTGGTATCGACGTCAGACTGACTGGCCTGTAATTTCCCGGATCTCCTCTGGAACCCTTTGGGAGTGACATTAGCTACCTTCCAGTCCTCAGGAATGGAGGCAGATTTTAAGGAAAGATCCAGAAGTTCACATTTGAGTTCTTTCAGAACTCTCGGATGTATGCCATCTGGGCCTGGTGATTTATCAGTTTTTAAGTTGTCTATCAGTTTTAGGACCTCCTCTCTCGTCACCTCAATCTGACTCAGGTCTTTCAACACCCCTCCTGAAATCAGCGGTTCTGGAGTGGGCACAATTTGTATGACTGGTAGCAAGCTGAGGGCTAGGAACCCTAGGGTAGGTCGTCACCCTATTACTGTTCCCCTTCCTCTCAACATTGTTTTTGACCACAGTCTCCTTAAACTTCCTCTTCCTAATGCCTCCATTTTCCTGCCTCCTCCTTTCCTTTGGGTCCGCTATAGTGCTGTTTTAAAGCACTCCTGCTATGATTATAGCATTTTATGATAGTATTTAACCAGCTTTGAGAGGATAGTTAGAAGTGGAGCGTGGGGTGTTAAACAGTGAATCTTCTCAGGCAATTGGTTCCATAAAGCTGGAACTGTACTGAAAAGGCAAAAGACCTTGCTGAGGGAGGGAGTCGACGTTTGAGGAAGAAAAGGCATAGGTGAGAGTAGTTGATATGCAGACTGGAGTTGGTATGCAGGCCTACATTCCTTCCCTGCCCAGACTAGAGCAGTTTAGCCAACAGGAGCTAGAGTGTCTTCTCCATGCTGTGTCTCTGGCATTAGATCAGCACCACCAATCACTGTCAGGGTTAACCATTGCAAAGTCATTTCATACCGTATAAACTGGAATATGTTGATTATTCTCTGAGTAAACCATTAAACATCAACCATGTAAAACCATGTAACCTTGCAAAGCTAGCAGCTCTGTTCCTAGTAACTGACATGCAAAGGGTACAGGCTCATCTAAAAACCTTAGTTAGAACCAAGTCAGATACTGTCTCTTGAACGATGTAACACTTATTCACATATGAATAATCACAATTTGCATGACTGGATGAAATGCACTAAGAGAGCAGTGAGGCCTCGTTCCCTCCCTATCCCAGTCTTCTTTACAAAACATTGCCACTGGAAATAGCCTTCCTTAAAAGAACATTTTCCTTCTAACAATAACCAGAGGTATTGGCTGGCCTGGTTGATAAGGGCCACCATCAAGGCAGCTAACAAATTAAAACATATATAATAAAAATATAATAAAAATCACATCTTAAACATTAAAAGCAAAACCTCTACATCATTAAAACAATTAAAACCGGAGCTAAAATACAAAGCAAAGTTTAGTTCTGTCACTCCCTGTTTTTTGGGGGAGTCTGCTTTTGTATAAGCAGAACTCAGTGATTTTCCTTGAAGGAGAGTCACAGGTTCACAAGAAGGTTAACCCGTGGGAACATTCTGTTGTTGATGCATGCTTAAAAAATACAAATTACTTCTGAAGTATCTCATTCATTGTGTAGCAGAATTCCATAGGTGCCTGCAGGCTCAAAAAAGGTTGGGGACCCTGTTTGTAGCATCTGTTGTATTCTTCCTGCTGTTTGAAATGGTGCCCTTTTGATAGTACACTTTTATTTCAAAAATAGGAAATGCTTTCACAGACAACTGGCCTGGGATACTAGTATTTTCCCTTGTACTGGAAAAATCTCCCCTTGCTCACATTGATGGAGTGCTTACCAACTCCCACCTCCGTCCATATAGAAATATTTTGAACCAATGAGTGGCTGCCTTCCGAAATTGGCCTGTACTGCAATCTGATGATTTATGTCAACCGAGTCCATCAGTTGAATTAAATCAAATCATGCTATTGATTCTCTGAGTCATTTTGTTAGCCTGTGAATTAACTTTAAAAGGGACTTTGAGGATTTGGTATGGGTGATTCATTGGCCTGACAGTCCTAGACCTGAACATATTTTTTCCTTACTCTTCAGGTCAAATTCAGATTCTGACATTAATGGATGAATTGCATTTGACATCTGATAAACATTCTAGTTTTACAGTGCAATCCTAAACAGAGTTATATCCTTGTAAGCGCATTAGTGGGCTTGGAAGGGGGGAACTCTGCTAGGATTGCACTGGTGTTGTCTGCCACTGTTTCCAGATCAGATTGTGTCTGTAAACCTTGGTGGAATGTTTTTTTGTTTGTCTTGTCTGACTGGACTAGGATGACTTCTAAGCGGCTGGCTCTGTGCATACAATTAGTTACCACCTTAATTGTTGTTATGATGGCCCTGTGATTTAGGTTTCCTTCTTCAGGTCCTTCTCGGAAATCTCTCCTGCTCCAAAGTGGTATAGATAATTAGCTCTGACATAACAGTGAAAGAGGCCAAGAAACAAAGGCCTAAATTAGACAGATGGTAGCAAATTTATGTGTTTGGAGCTGACCTGAATTGAACAGTGTAAAAAGTAAAGTGGTGTGGGAAGGGGCAGAATAATTGAAAGAGCAAATGGTATTGAAGTCATGGGGGGGGGGGTTTAACCTCAAGAATCATAAGCGAGAGTGGGTGGGTGGGTTGGTGGAAGGATTCTATATTCCATATCTGCGTGCTTATTATATTGCGTCTCTCCCCACCCCACTTTCTACATGATGTCAGCATATGGCAGGAGGTTTGTGGGGAGGCAGCATGACAGGAGAAGATTTTTTAAAGTACAGCCTTAAGTACTTATTGGAAGTTGTTGCCAGAAGTGACAAAGGGTAATTCCAGGTAAAACCATAGAGTTTTTGATGATTCCTAGAGCTACCCTTTGTCACTTCTGATAAGAACTTCCAGCAAAGTATACGAGGATGCCTTTTTTCGAGAATGTTTCTCCCAGCTCGTCTGGCAGCGGCAGCAGGCAACAGGATCTGAGGGGGGTCCCGTGTCCCCACTGGGGGGCTTCGCAGCCCTATGAAAGGGGCAGATTTTTGTTTTAATGCAGTGTAAAAAAATCTAAACTCAAACAACAGATCTGGGTTTAGATGCTGCCATAAAGTCTAGTTGGTATCAGACTAGAGGCCTGAGACACCAGGGTTAAAATTTATATTTAGGCATGAAACTCCCTGTTGGCTCTGGGGCCCAATCTACATTCAGAGCAGATCACATGGAGAACCTCTTGGTGTCATTAATGCCTCGGGCTGCAAACTGGGGATTGCAGAACAGAATGGTCCTGTAGACAAAATAAATTCCCCACCCAGCTTTGTCACTGATGTCGTTGGGT